GGACAGAAGGTGGCCCAAAAGCCCTTTCCTCTGGGCTGGGAGCAGCAGGAGGGATGGTGACCGGGAAGCCCCTTCCTTTGTACCAGGAGCAGTGGGATGGTGGCTCAGAAGGCCCTACCTCTGGACCAGGAGCAGCAGGATTCAGTACCTTGGTCTGGTGGTCCGGTGTCCTCTGTGTCTTTGTAGTGTGGAACCTGTTTGCTGCCTGTCTGTAGCAGGGTGATTTGACGTCTTCCGCGTGACTTGGGACCTCGGTAGGGCATGCACAGACCTGCCTGTCTGCAGTGGGCTGATTCTGTGTGTTCCCTGTGACTCGGGACCTCGGTAAGGCGTGCGCAGACCTGCCTGTCTGCAGCGGAGTCTCTTACTTTTACTTTTGTGGAGTCAGAAAATACTTTAGAATCTTGAATTGACAGGCCTGTGTGGGAGGGGAGATGGGCTGAGGATGGGTATTACATTACAGATAGCGTAAACTGTGTGAATAGGGCTGTTGTTGTTGTTATTGTTTTTAAGCATACCATATATGTAGTCATAATAACCATGTGCTTACAGAAGAACCCTTCTTAAATAATTAAATAATCCTACGTATGGACAGTAATGGTATTCCAGTAATTTTTTTCTAGTACTTTCTAGGTTGTCTGTAAACATAAGTTTTTATAATATAAATAAGTGTGACAGTTTTACATATAATAATGCATACAGAGATTAGTGAAATTTTTGATGCAGCTAGTGATATCATAAAGATTCCCCAACTGTGCTTATTGTAATGGAATCCCAAACTGATATTGAATGAGTGAGTGACTACACACCTGCATATACAGGGAGAACTCATTGCTTTTCCTCTTGATACAGACCTCCAAGTACATCCCTCAGCATTAATAATTAGATTGTCCTGAGCCCAAGCGTTCTGAAAGGAGATAAAGTGTTGCCTCAAAGTAAAAGGCCATCATGTAGAAAAGAGTAGAATTGATCTTTTTATCCAAAGGCCAAGTGGTTAGTTGCTCTTTTAAAAATCACTAAATGGGAGAAGTGGAGTGTCTGAATATGGTGAGTCCTATCACAGACAGCATTGAAGCACACATTCTAACAGTGCTGTAGGAGGAATGCCTGTGTGGATATGCAGGATGCAAGAATTGCCACATGGGTTAAGATTCTATGGTTACAAAATACACTAAATAGATTAAATCATTGAAAAGGAAAGAGATTAGTTAATATAAAATTACCCTATGCCGGTGTTTCTCCAAACAAGGCTCCTGGACTGGTAGCATCAGTATCACCAGAGGACACTGTAAAAGTACAAAATCTTAGATCCCATAACAGATCTGCTAAGTCAAAAAGTCCAGGACAGGATTCAGCATTCCCTATTTTAACAGGTCCTCTGATTCTTGATGCTAAATTTGAGAGAATCACTGCTCTTAACCATCTTCCCTTTATTCAGAGAAGCTTATATTGTTGGTATGGTGTGAGCAAGCCTTTAGACAACCATGCTTTAAATATTATTCCTACATAGTCTCAGTCTTGTGTTCACCATAATAAATTTCAGTGTTTCTTTTACATGATTTGAATTCTTGTCTCTTTTACAGGTGTTGGGAAATCTTCACTAGTCCATCTTTTATGTCAGAATCAAGTGCTGGGAAATCCATCGTGGACTGTAGGCTGTTCAGTGGATGTCAGAGTATGTGTCTTATATGTTTTAGTTTTTCAGTAGTCATATTAAAGATCATTGCTTCAAACTACATGATCAAATTACAGTACTGTAGTCAAGATTAAGTAATAATAACTAGCATTCATTAAGCTCCTACTATATGACAGGTACAAATGGTTTACACATTTTAGCCTAGTTAATCTTTTTTAAACTGTGATATACAGGTGCAGAAGCTAAGGCACATTCACTCAACTTGTGAAAAGTAGAGTCAAGAGTTAAACCTATTTAATCTGATTCCATAGACTTTAGTCACTGTGCTATATACAGTATCAGATTACTTAGCATGCTCTTTAAATATTCCTGCCTAAGCCTGTTCCACTAAGACTGCCAACTTCTGGCCAGAAATGTAGTGTAAATAAAGAAACTTCTGGAACCTTATTTCTGACTCATCTGTTCCATCTCCCATTTAGGTAGTGGGTGCAGTTTCCATTGAATCAGATATCTTCACAGATATTGTTTGTCTTTGCTACTCCCAGCTAGTTCTGATCAAGCCTCTCATCTGCTGGCACACCTCTCACCTTTTATTTAAGAAATAAATAGGAAAAGAATGGTCATTAGATTGACAGTTGTTTTCCTTCCGTTCTTTGAAGCTATTGTTTCATAGGCTCTAACTTATATTGCTGTTGATTAGAAATTTTCTGTCCAACTATTTCTTTTAAAGTAATGTATTCTCTAGGTGCTTCCAAAATTTTGGTTTTTTTATCTTTAATGTCCTGCAGTTATACTAATCTATGTCTAGGTACAGATTACTTATTCCAAAATTATCATGCTTCTCACATCTTCATTTTTAAAAAATTTGTAGCCATTACCTGTCTCCTCTCATTTCCTTTTGAATTTCTATTAGATGTTCACCCTCTTTTATCTTTTAATTGTACTCACATGCTTTGTATTCATTATTTCTCCTTGCTGCATTCTGGATGATGTACTCCTGTCATCCCTCTAGTTAACTAAGAATCTCTTCAGTGATAGCTAATCTGCTTTTTACTATATCCACTCTCTTTCAAGTAACTATAATTTTTAATTTCTAAGTTTTTTAAATGTTAAAATATATTTTGAAATGTACTCATCTTTCATTATCATTTACATTTTGAAATGTACTCATTATTTATACTTTTTATTGTAATCATTTTCAGCATATCTATTTTACTTTTTCCCTATCATTTTATTTTTTTCCTATCATTTTATTTTTATTAGTACCTGTTTGTGATATATAATGTTTATAGTCTTTGGGTGGAGTTGATACATGTACATGATACATATTCCTTTTCATACCCTTTTCCTCCCAACCCTCCCCTTTCTTCATCTCTTGATTCCCTTCCCATTTGAGAAAGATCTATCTTCCTGCTTCCTATTATCCATCTTTTATTTTGTTCTTTATTTGTAGTTTAGGCTTTTCATATAAGAGAAGCCATGTGATATTAAGCATGTGTGTCTGATTGATTTCACTTAACATTATGGTCTCAAGGTGCATCCATTTTCCTACAAACGACTCAAATTTATCCTTCCTTATGGCAGAGCAGTACTCCATTGTGTAAAGTACACATTTTATTTATCCATTCATCTGTTGATGGACATATAGATTTAGCTGTTATGAATTGTGCTGCTATAAACGTATATATATGTATCTTTGTAATATGATGTCTTTAACTCTTTGGGGAAGATACATAGAAGGGGAATACCTGTGTCAAATGGAATTTCTAGTTTTAGTTTTCTAATGAATCTTCATAGTGGTTGTACTAGTTTACATTCCCACCAACAATGCTTCACCAGCATTTGTTGTTATTTGATTTCTTGATAAAGCCATTCTTTCTGGGATAAGATGGAATCTTAGGGTTGTTTTGCTTTACATTCCTCTAATACCAGCAATGTTGAACAAAAGTAATCCAGGGTAACAAGAGCAATGCCAGAGGTATCACAATCCCAGACTTTAAGCAGATTTATTTTATAGTTTCTTTCAAAAGAAATATTTTTGAGAATATAGAGGTATATTCTACTTGTTGTTTATGTTGCTGTACTTTATGAAAATGTTTCTCATTGTAATTTTTCAAAAATGTTTACATCTTCTGCAGGATTATTTTTTCTTTCCTGTGGAAGTACTTCTATATCCCTAAATTCTTCAATGTTATGAAAGTAGCCCTGTACAGTACCTTTTCATTTCTATTGCTGCCAGGACCCTAGGAATTATGAGATTTTTGTAATTTTTCAGTTCAGAGTTTCCGTGCCATCTACCTACCACCCTCACCTAAGGACCCTGACAAAAAGTTTTTTCTGCTTCCTTGAACCTGTGGACAGTTTCTCCAAATGTTTCTTTAGCTGACTGGGTAATTCCTCAAGGATCCAGATTTCAAGAAGAGAATTGAAGTCTACTCTTATCACCCACACATACTCTTCCTTAAAAGTTGGAAAATAGGTCTGCTATTCCTGGATGGGCAGTAAAACTGCAGGCACCAGCCTCTGTGAAGCTATATCTGAATATGTGTCAGTTCCCACTTCTCCCTTCTCCAATTTTAAGCATTTTCTTCATTTCTAGTATTCAGGGATGTCCTTTTCTTTCCCTTTATTTTCTCTTGAACTAGTTTGTCTCTCCTCACCTCCCCTTAACCCTCCCCTCCCCTCTCTTCCTTTCCCCTCCTTCTCTTCCTCCTCTGTGTGAGTGTTTGTGTGTGTGTGTGTGTGTGTGTGTGTGTGTGTGTATTTATAGCATTTCTATAAGTTTGAAGTGGGAAGAAGCCTGTCTGTGTTATTTCAGCCTACCGTGTTCCCAAATTTTTAGATATGGAAGAAATGCTGTAGATAATGAATTCAATGGAAACTTTATTTAGGCGTGGGAAACACAAAAGCATATTCTCAACAAAATTCCCTTTAGATTTTTCTAGCTCCCTTTCTGTGAAAAAACATAGCATATTGTAAAGAAATGTAGATTTAAACCCTCATTTCCTAGGTCAGTTGCCTTTTGCTTTTTAAAGAGTGACCTTACACTGATCACTTTATCTCTTAAGGCTTAGTTATAGCATCTACAACATAAAAGTAAATAATACAGTAACATTTTACCTAGCCTAAAGACTTACATGGGGGAATCAGAAAAGCCTAGTAGAGGCAAAGTTATAGTCTAGAGCTTTACAATTTGAAGGTCAAATTGAACACTTGTTCAATTTTCTGTCCCTTCTTTTACTTATCCACCTCCCTACCCCTCTTTCCTGGTCCCACCTAAGCCCAACTGCTCATATTATTCACCTTTTGTCTTGTTCTTTTCCCCTTTCTGAGTCAGCTAAAACACAGAATGGTGCAGAAATGTCAATATCAAAAAAAAAAAAGAAATGTCAGTATCATGCTTAAATTTAATTATCAACTTGACTAGATTATGATACATCTAACAGATTAGTAAAACACATTCCTGAGTGTGTCTGGGTGGGTCATAGGAGCCAACTTTGGGGATTATGTCTGGTTCCTAGATCCTTTCTGGTAACTTTCCCCTCTGCTCTGCTTCCTTGCAACTATGAAATGAGCACCGTTGCTCTACCGTGCCTTTCTTCTGTGATGTTTCTGCACTGGAGCCAGCCTACAGTGAACTGAAATCCCTAAAATATAAGCTAAGTAGACCTCTCCTCCTTTAATTTGCAGGTGTTGGGTATTGTGTCTCAGCAGCAGGAAAGCTGACTAATACAGAAAATCACCAGAAAAGAAGAGTAATTACTGTAACTATATTTGAACATATGGTTCAGTAGCCTTTGGAACTGGTTTGCAGGAGTTTGGAAGAATTGAGAAGTGGGCTGGAGAAAGCCTAGAAGACTGTAAGCAGAGCTCAATACATAATTCTGGTATGAGTTTGAAAGACCAGAATGCTGATAAAAATGCAGAAAGTAAAGGATAGGCTCATGAGATTTCAGATGGGATGGACTCTATTGGAAATTTGACTAGAATCCATGCATATTGCATTCTGGCAAAGAACCTGTCTACATTTTGCCCATGTCCTAAGATTGTATGATTCTGAATTTAAAGATAGTGAAATAATTGATCTGGCAGAGAAAATTTCAAGACAGCCCAATGTTTGGGCTGTGGCATGCATACTG